ACTGTTACGAACGGCTGATTAGGAACAGATAGCAAGACCTGGTACTTAAATTGATTTCCTCGAAGCACAGTATTATCCTTTGTTAGAGATAAATAAAGAGCAGAGTTTATGGCCCGTGGCTAGTTAAGTTGACCTGACTTAGGACCAGCAATAGGTACCGGAAGAAAGATTAGGCTCGGTCGATCAAAACTCAGAACACTATAGAATAAGGAATGTCCGATCGGAACAGGAAGAACGGTTGTCTGAGTCTGTACCACTAGACGCTTCGCCGGAGGTCTATATTATAGCCGATGCTACGTAGAAGGATACTCTGGTAGAGCGCCCCTCTTCGTCACTACAACGAGAGTCTCCTGCGTAGACTGATACGCGCATACCAATAGAAATAGCTGGGTCAGATAAGTTGCCCGAGGAACAAGACAAGTCTCGTGAGCGAGGAGAAGGAGCCAGCGATACAGCTAAGTATTCTGCAGTGACAATTAAGTTCCGTGCACGTAATGAACACGGCGACTGGAATCGCTTAGTCCACCAAATAGTGGTCGATCTATCTAACCCCTCTCCTATTAGGCGAATAGCGTCTAAAAACGCGCGAGAACGTTAGGCAATATTTTATAACCAGAATCTACGGTAGGTCCTACCGGGGTAGTGCTTTGATACAGCTAGACCTTGCCAACTCCCATGGGACTAGAAAAATTTTGGTCCCATATCCTGGTCCCATCACTCCTATGGGACTAGCCAAAATTTTGGTCCCATTACCATAGTGGTCCCATGGGAGTCCTATGGGAGTGATGGGACTCCCATATGGTCCCATGGTATACATATTTTTGCTAAGCATTTCCTATTTTGGTTGCACAAAAATGCTAACTCAGCAGATAAAATACTGTTTTTTACAGGTGTATCAATATTCTTACTTCAAGTTTGTAGCAATCTAACTTTTTTATATGGTATACTATTAAAAATAGAAGATGAATATCTCAGCTATATATTTAAATATTATATTCAAGCAAAAGTAAGCTCAAATATATAAAATTAGGTGTAGGAGATCAAGAAGAAGTTGTTGACTTAGTATCATGGTCAGTCAGTAGAGATATATATATTCATATATATACTATACTCTCCAGTTTCAACTAAGCTCTATATATATTAAAAATTATACCAAAATATAATAAATCCTTTTTTTTTACAGTATTAGATACTATAGATAGGTCTTTATTTCATCCTTTTATTTTAAAACTACTCTTAATATCATATTATTGGTATAGAAATCAATATCTGGACTGCGATATCGCCTATAGACAGGCGGGTGGGCACTGCCCACGGGCCTTAAGGCCTTTTTAGTAACTAAGTAGAATTCCTTGACCTCGTGACCTACATTATTTGTATATTTTTTCTTTATATTTTTAAGTAATTTAATTATATATATATAGTAGTAGCATTAGTATATAGTAGGTTTAGAAGTATAATAATTTGACACTACTGCTAGTTTTCTGACCGAGGTCAGAAAAATAAGCTTTAGAAGCCTTTATACAATGACTTGATACAACTATCAATTTTCTGACCGAGGTCAGAAAAATAGCAGTAGAAGATACAATGATTTGATACGACTGTTAGTTTTTTGACTGGGGTCAGAAAATTAAGCTTTAGAGGCCTTTATACAAGAAATTCCATCAAAATACTAGGGGATCGGGTTAACCCTCAAAACTGACTATACCCCTGACTTAATAGGACTCCTATAGGACTCCCACGGGACTCCCGCGGGACTCCTATAGGACACCCGTGGGACCCCCACTATTATAAAGCTTGCTTAACCAATCGGGGAGCTGTAAATAGAAGGTCTTACTATCTTATAATCTATCTTCGCGCTAGTTATTACTCGGCCTACTATAGAGTACTCAAGGTATAGAGGATAGATACAATCGTTAATCAGAAGATTTTTGAGAGGTAAGTCAAGATTATTCTATCCTTATTATACTCCTAAGTCCCTCCCCTCTTTACCCCAGTCCTCTACGATATAATGATTATTGGAATATTATATCTCAATACGATCTTTATACTGAGGCTAGCCCTTCGTCCTAGATTGCCTCCTCGCAAATTGGGATACCTCCACTATCTTCACTCTATAATCTTGATTTGATAGATAAACCCCTTACACCAGACCATTCGATTAGCTAGCAGCCGATTTATAGCGTACCACTATCCTCAGTCGTTCAGTCCGAAATTGAATCAACACCTCTTCCACCTAGTCTTCGTCGAATCGGTCCACGAAATCAAAAGTTCTGGGTTCTCTGGACTATAGAGAATAAGGCAGAGTTTATTGAATAGTGGAGGAATACAACTGGTACTTATCTATACCCTCCACTCTATAAAGTGAACTTCGAAGCACAATATATATCTTCTGCTTGGGATCAGTTTAACTAGGTAGCATACTATTAAACTGGAAAACCAATAGCACTCTGTCGGAGATATAGAAAGGTGCTATCGCACCTATTATCAACCTTAAATAGGTCGAAATCCCTAACTGCGCACTTGAGTAGCCGCGTATACAAAACTGGCGTATAAAAGGACTCAACCCAATAGGATATACAACAATCGTTTGAACTTTCGGTAAGACTAGGGTCTTATAAATAATCTATCTAAGGCTAACTTCTATATCATTCTTAGTCAAACCGTGTATCTACTCGAAAGGCCTTTAATCTACAAAGATTTGAGAGAGCCCAGGTAAAATTTATCGCAAACTCTCGCCTTCTATTTCAAATCCTCCAGCACCAAGAATTCTAAGATCTTATAGCAGAGGCATAGCTTTCACCACAACCTTTGAGCCTTCTTTCACCGAAAACTGCGCGGCGTCGACTCTAATCGATTGTCCAGGCAGAACAGCAAAAGCTACTCTCCCACCTCCCCGCTGGGGCAAAGCTCTCGATTGCTCTTGACTGCTAGACCTCACTATTCCAACAAGCGTTTATAGCGATCACAGGGTATTTTGTGGATATCGATTGGGTATATTATAAGATACTTCTAGGCTTTATACCGGTTTATAGCCAGTATACCGGCGCTTACTTGGTAGAGGTTCTCCTCGGTGTTCTTTCTGACCATAGGATCGTTGATAGGGTGATTGCAATTACTACTGATAATATATTAAATAACAAAACCATAGTTAAAAGTCTTTGTGAATCGATCCGATAGATAGATCTCCCGGATTCCACTGAGATTATACGGGTTCTATACCTTACCTATATGATTCAGCTGAGTCTAAAAGATCTTCTTAGCTTGATAAAGGCCAATCCAAAGAATAATAAAACCGCGACCGTATAGTCAGAAGAAAATAGGAGTATCCTTCAGTAAGCAAAGCTACAGAAGGGAATTATTTATACACTTACAAAGGTATATATCTAACCTCTATAAAGGTATCTTATATTAATCATGATTATAGGTTCGCGCTTTTACTGTATTTATCAATGCTAGCCCACAGCGACGGGAGGCCTTTCTGAATCTCCAGAGCGACGGAATAAAGCTAGCTCCAATCCAAGATATCCGCACTCGGTGGAATTCTATATATCTTATACTCCAGCGTGCTAAGCGCCTTCAGACAATATTCCAGCGGTATTGTATAGAGCACCAGCGCCCTGAGTTCTATATCAGTAAAGGGGAGTGGCGCTAAATCGATTACCTACTCTGTATCACAAAGCCTTTCTATAAGTGGACGGTCGGTCTATCAAAGATCAAGACAATAACTATTCACAATATTTTTATGGTATATAACCGGCTATTCACATATTTTGAACAATCCCAGGCCCGACTTCGTCGTAAGAAGGTACCCTAGAAGAAGGCTATACTAGCGGCTCTTGAAGCTAGAAGGGAAAAGCTTTCGGTATACTACCAATTAACAGAGGAAGCCTATAGTAGCTTATACGCTATAGGTACTATTCTTGCTCCCCAGTATAAGCTCAAGTTTTTTGAAGGCCCAGAATAGTTAGGTCAGGTTCAGCTCAATGATACTATTTCCTCTTAGTATAATATATATAAGTCTTCGCTTTATAGCTATCTTGAAGACTATTCGAAATATCAGCCAGAAAGGGAAGTACCACCCACAGCGATACCTTCGGTATATTATACAGAGGATAAAATAGTAAGCCTTCTCGCTGAGGATCAGCCACCGCCCCCACTACCATTAAAAGCCACTGGTTAGGAAGAAGAACTTAAGGGATATCTCAATCTTAGTAAGTTTATACTATCCTTTTACTATTTTACGAACCACGTTACTAACTCTCTATAGAATAGAGCGCAACGAATCTATACTATTTCTGGAGGGAGAATACGCGTAACTTTCCGACACTCGCAGGACTTACACGGGACGTCTTTTCGATCCCAGCCACAGGCGTAGGTGTTAAGCGTCTCTTTAGTACTGCTCGCGATATTTACTATTACCGACGGGGCTCTTTAAATAAATCGACGATTCAAGATCTAATAATACTCCGTTGTTTATCAAGGTTTAACATTAGAGATAAAGAAACTGAGGATACTGTTCAACCTAAATCCGTTCTTAACTAAGACGAAAGAACAGAGATTGACGAACAAAGGGAGGCAGGACTTCCTAACTATACGCCAGAGCCAATCAGTGATAGTGAAGATAGCGAAGACAGTGTAGACGATAAAGCCGACAACGTTAATCCAGACAATATAGATACCGCCACAGAAGAGGCAGAGCCAGATCATTCTATACGCCACCAATTACCAGTGATTCCGTTCAGTCAACAACGTCCCCAAAGAGAACGCAAGCGACGAAGAGATAATGATTTGTATACTTATACATAATAGAGATAGATTAGTATAGAATTTTTTAACAGCTGTTAAAATATCAAATTCTACTGTCTATCAGAAATTGCGCTCTAGATATAGCACTGCAAATCTACTATTTTTGTCCTAATACCAAGCCCAAAGTATTATTATCTCTATTCTTTGAGTAATTAAAATACCCAAAAAAACAGTGGCATTCTTCATAAGTTATGCAGGTCACATTTTTCTATATGTTTGCACTGTTTACAGTCCCATAGGAGTCCCATCAAAGTCCCATGGGAGCGGACTGGACTGCTTAGTCCCATTCTTGGCACTCCCATGGGACTTGATGGGACTCCCATATGGTCCCATGGGATAGTCCCATGGGACCACTCCCATGGGAGTTGGCAAGGTCTAGATACAGCGATTGAGGATAGCACGAACACAATATTTATGATATTCGGCGACGATCTAGTTATAAGTGAAGAGGCGGTGAATTCGATCGCACGAGTAATTGAACCCGGTAGTGATAATAATCGGCCGATAAAACGCCGGTATTAGGCGATAATAATACACTTAAGATCTAGATCAAAATACTTATATCCTATATAGACTGTAGTCAGAAGACCGAGGACCCTTATAGTTACTAAGCTAGGGTGGCCGCTAGTTAACAGCTATAAAGCCCACCTAGACTAGGAGCCGTGGACGTACGTCCAAAGTGGGTCTATATCCACTCAGTGCCTAAAACCAAAGCCTTCCCACCACAGCTTCCTAACCACGGACCTATATCTCCAGACTCAAAGCCCGCCTAGACGCAGATCTACAGATCTATTATATAACTAGCCTTAAGGCAGTAGATTTATATCTTTGTCGGCCTAGGGACAATATAGGCCAGAAAACACTCTTCCTCTATCTATAGAAGCCCCCCTAAATACAGAATACTACACAAGAAGCGCTATATCCAGCTTTTTAGTTGAATCTATTGTAAAGCTTATCTAGCCTCAATTTCTTAGTAAACGTCCCTAAGGGGGGCTCTTGAACCCTCCAGTTTGATACTGAAGGTAAGACTGTAATAGGCGAGCCTCTTACACTAAGATAAATCTTAACCTCTACCCTAGATACCCCTTTTCCAGCTAGCAAATAACGTAGGTAGCGGGGCTGGGCGTTCTAGTGGGGTGAAGGAGACCACGAAAGAAAGATTCGTGGGCCTTGCTCTAGCACACTGAGTCAGCGTCCTAGATCAATCACATTGAGGTAGTATATAGACGATATATTTCTTATTAGCCACTGATCAACTATTTAAACTTATACTGCTCACTTCTTCCGATACTCCTATATATAGTGCTGCCTCGAGTTTAATTGATAACACCGACGAAATATCTCGTTATAATTTAACTACAGCTAGAGTAAGTACGCTTTCCTTTCCTCTAGAGGCGTTATCTAAAAACACCCAGTGACTTTATCTCCCCCCTCGTATACCTAGAGGTTAGCCCTAACGGGAAGAAATTCGCTGCGCCTAGCGGGATAATCCAAAGCCTCCGGGGTCGTTACAAAAGGTCGCCCGAAATAATTTATATAGTTAACGACGATATTGAGGATATCTTTAGCTATATCCTTCAGTACCTTTATAGTAGGGATTACTCTGTCTTTATTCCAGCAGCCGATAAATCGAGTTATACTTTATACGAAGATAAAATCGATATTGTAACGCAGGATCTACTTCCCTTGAAAGAAAATTATTTTGCGAGTTATAAAGATATCTAGGTGAAGACCGACAATTCGATATCTTTGCTATATTGTGGAGATAGAAACCACCTGTGCAAATATCCTAAGACACTGCTGGTGTATACTCGTTTGTATGACTTCGCTACTAGATATAGATTGGACCAACTTCGAAATATAAGTTTGAATAAGCTTTACTGGACTCTCTCGGAATATCCGTTAGATTCAGAATAAGCGGATATAATCGTCGAGCTTTTACGGGTTGCCAATAGAATAGGCACTATCTATACGCTAATGATTCACTATATATTATTGCACCTAAAGACTTTTATACGTTGTTCTAGTTTTCTCTCGTTCTTGGAAGAAAACTATTATATCAGCTTCTACTTGTTCAATCTCTTATATGATTCCCTGTGAGCCTTTATTCTCCTTTAGTCCCGTTCTTTAATTTCTTCTGCAGGCCTATTTATTACTTCGTATTTCAAGACAATGTAAATCAGCCCCCTGGAAGCTGATTATTAGCTAGATAGAGGATCTAGACTCTTTTAAGGAAGATCTGTACTTGATCTCAGTTTATAAAGCCCCGTATCAATTCAAATTTTTTAAAGAGATATTAAGTTACAAAGTCTTTCGCGCCTTCCAGAGGTTCCTTTTGGTTCTGAACTGGCGTTAGAAGGTAGAGACCCTACTCAAAATCTAGAACCAGTACGCTTTCGGGGTATATAGTAGGGAAGACCACGGTTTCAGCGCTATATACTGTTAGTTACCTTTCAAAGTAGAAAACAATATTATTGCTTAGCCAGAAGACTTCTGAGATAGGATCTACGATCAATCTATTTATATCTGAATTACACCCGAATATATAAGCAAAAATAATTATCCACGCTCTTGATAGTAAGATAACGTAACTTACCAGTTATTCGCTATATATATCTAGTGACTCACCAGTATATCCTCGAAATATATCTAGACTTAAGCACCGGGACAATAGGAATATTATATCACCAGTAACTTCTGTCCCGACTAACTATATTATTAAATAACCTTAAATCTCGATTATACCCCGAAGCTTATATAAAAGTTCACGGGTAGGCCTTAAGAGAAACTCTTGGTAGTCAGCTGTACGATACAATTCAATAATAGTACCTAAGGCGGAAATAGACAAAGTTGAGGGCCTATAGTCGATATTTGAGGTCTCTTCTATAATAGTGATTTGTCCGTGTGATAAGATACACGAAAAGTTAATAGGTATACAGAGATAAGTAAAAGAGGAAGGCAGTCGAATTTATTATAACCTATCAATCAAAAGGTTGAAACAACTACAATAGGATTTTATTCCGGTGACTCTAAATAATCGGGACAAATAAGGTACGCTTTAGTGAAATAGTCACTAGGTATAGCTCCGCTAAGTGTGTCTAAGTAGAGAAATAAAGAAATAGCGTAAGGCCCTTAAAGATCGGAAGAGTAGAATCTAACGCTTATGTTCGAAGGCTATAGATATCCTCGGTATACCTCCGCAAGTGTATCTCGTACAGGACAGACAAATCGCAGAAATTATATATCCGGTCCGTCAGATATAATATCCTGAAATACCTTTTCACTCTATTATAGTCGGAGTACGTCTTAGGGTATTGGAAGTATACGAATATTTGCTCTGTATTCGGGATATATTTCCCGCCAGAGGTATATCCCTTCTCCTACGACGTATTCAGCTGCGTATCAGCTTTTACCTTTCGAGCTGGCGGAGAGGGAACGATATCCTTATTGTCGGACGGGGCAGAGCGCTTCCGTCGTCCCTTAAGGGGTCTACCTTCCTGAAAGCTGCAATATTGTATTCCAGCCGCAACAGCTTTATTACGCCGCGTCCACTCGTCTTCTAATAAATCGGTGGTAGGCTAAGTAAAGAATATCTCTACAAGAAGAATCTGCTCCGATAGTATTTCAAACTCCTTCCGTAATACCTCGCGCGTAGGCTTATCACTGACAGCCCCACCAGTCAGCTGTCTTTCAATGTTAATTACCGCCTGTTTCCGACTAAAATCGCGGTGTATTTCTTTCCGCTGTTTGTCTTACAGACGCCGGCGCAGATTGTGGACTTAACGCTTCTGGTCCTCCAGTATCGCCCGAAATACTGGGTTGTAAGAGCGATCAGCGCACTAGGTCTCTAAATCAACTTGCTAGTGTATAGCTGATTGTAGTTCTGGGTCTTTCTCTACTGATTCCCGATCAGTGTCGCTTAGGTATCGTAGTCGTCGCCGATCAATCTAACGACTTATCCGGGTCACAGCCTTTAAGAACTCTTCGTCTGGATTGAGGCCGTATATAATCTCTTGTAAGCTAGTATACCGACGGGGACGATAATATTTAATAAACGTTCTACTAGTGGTGTGGGCTATAATTATATTACGCTGTGCTTTACTGACAAAACCTAGATAAAAGACTTAGTCTGCCTATCTACAGAAAACTTAGGGATATATAGGCCACTCACCACTCTTGTCGAGTAAATCACCTCCTCTGTATCGGAATTGGTGAGAGAAAAAATGATTAAGGAAGCCGTATATCTCACTGGATATCCTGAGCTGTGCGTCGAGTGTGCTTCTATTTATTGGTGTCTCCTATAAAATACGGGGCTGGCCACAGATCACCTCGACCTTTGGGAAGATATAGTAATTATCTATCTCTTTCTTTAAGGGAAGTAGTATTTCCTGTCGACCACCCTCGATAAGCAGTCTCCGAAGGTCTTCTATCGATATTAAGTGAGGCGCTTTAAAGGTATAGATATAAAATAATATAATAAAGAGTAGGATATACGGGCTGAAGATAAGTGATACGCTGTAGATAATTTCAGGTAGCGTAAACGTATTGCTAAGTAATATCGATCAGTCAGTCTGATTGTAGTAAATAAGTGTGACTCGGGTACTACCTACAGCTTCGATATACCTAGGACGCTTTTTACAAACTAGGGCTCGAGTTCGATTATCGGCTTAGGAGGTCCTCTGTGCGGATCCTACTGGAGCGATATTTGTAAATACTTAAACTAAAGGTCAAGTATTACCTATTTTCGGTTGATAGTAAATAACCTAACAGTGTTATATAAATATAGGATAATGCGCTGAAACCCTAAGTGGAATCGCTTCTCCCGTGTTTAAAGGATTGTCTTATTGAATAGAATTATATCTTCGATATATACTAGGACATTTGCGCGCGGTTGTATATCCAGACCGCGCTTATCCACTAAGTATCTTATACCCTATCAATCTTTGTTAGCGTAAGCCTCCTGCAGACGATTAGGAGGGAGGTCGAAAACAAACCGTGCGAACGGCCTCGCCTATCTCTTTACTTATCTCGGTTTTGGTAACTCGCTGGTAGTAAATTCGGAAGTACTTCCAATCCGCTTTAAGGGCGCTAGCCTTTGTATAGCCTTTCTAGCGGCGACTATTAGGACTATACTCCAGCTTCAGATACCAATTGAGAAATCGATATATATTATTCGGTAACGCCTTACGCAGTGTATCCTCCGTAACCCCCCACTTATAATTAGTGGATGGTTCTATTGCTTTTATTTGGCAGTACCTAAAATAAACCAAGTCGATCAGTTAATATTAACACAGTATAAGCTTTCAACGATATCCTAATCACTTACTAAGCCTAACGCTCTTTTAGTCGAAGTTTTAACTTCTTTGTTTTATTAGATCGGCCGTAATCCTCCGGTACTTAGGCTAGGTCCTTATCCGTGTTATTATCGGGTACTTAGTATCGGGCCTAGTGGATACGTTCCATATTCGATAGGACTGTTAGTAACGATTTTGTTCTAGTCTTTAGGCTTAGCTTCTTCCGAGCAATTGTTCGACCCGCTGGAGGGGAGCGCTCTAGCTCGGTGAGATCAGTCTCAGAGGAATCGGGCTCGAACGGTCTATTATTGTCGGTATCGATAGGAGAAGTACAAGAGGATTCGCTCGTGATTTCGTGGTTGCCGGTATTAGGCGTCCGACGATATATAGCTAATAAAATTCGCCGAGCGTGCGAAGGAACTACCTCGGAGCTCAAGATATATCAACGCACGACACTACTAAATAGAAGAAAGTACAACGGAAGATCAGAGGGAGATTTTTGGAGTGGTGTTTGAGTCGAAATAAGGACAGTGTTAGACGGAGAATGGGTGGGAAAGGGGTATTTATAGCTATAGCGGCTGGGGGCTGGCCAGAGTGCAGCTAGTATAGTGGTGAAGGAGGCTATTTTCGGCGCCCCCCTCCCCAGTAGGCGTGGTGGAGCTACGAATGAGCCCTCCTAGGAACCCAGGATGTAAGCGCACACGAAATGGCTGTCTGAGGCAGAAAGCGGTGGGCGGTGGGTGCGTGGTCGAAGGAGGCGGGAGTGTGGCGGAGGGAGGTTGCTGAAAGACGGCCATTTTCGGCCTCACCTGCGGCCGAAAAAGGCAGCCAAATAGCAAAACGCAATTCTTTATTAGCAAAACTTACGCCTATCTAAGATATCCGCACCCGCTGGAATTCTACCTTCTTAATACTTCGTTATATAAAACGCCTTAGTAAGCCCTACGATAAATACTGTGATAATATTAGGACTTAGAAATATAAACTTAGTAAGGTAGAATAGCGGTAGGTCGACTACCTTCTATATATTACAGAGCCGTTCTATCGCTTTACTATAGTGCTTTCAAAGACTAAAGAGATAACAGTATATTATATTTTTAGTATTTATAACACCCTCTTTAAGCACTTCGAGGAATCGATTGTATAACTCACTCTGAAAACTATACCTTAGAAGAAGGCGATACTATAAGCCCTTAATACTAGGATAGTAAAGCTTACCTCTTACTATACAAAGACGAAAGAGATCTATAGTAGTCTCTACGCAATTAGAACAATTCTTATACCCTAGTATAAGCTTCACTTCTTCTTAAGTAAGGCGTAGGGTATATCGGAGAACGATATAAACTAGAGTGATTAGTATAAGGAAACGCTTCGCTAGTTTATAGCTCCTTACACCTAAAGATACACTTAGATACGGTCCCTACGAGAAGAGTAACCCCCTAAGCGTCACTTAGCCAGTATAAGTGACCTAGATACCCTCCTTAACCTTCTACCTTATATCTACTCTAATCTATTAATATCGGAGTATAAACTTACTAGATACCTTAAAAAGCGTACGTTATATTCACTGTTATTATAAGCGGGAATACTAATACCTATAATAGTAAGGAGAAAGGTCGATCCTTTATAATTCTGGAAGGAATATAAGAATAAATTCCCAATTCTTTTAAGTATTGCTCGCGATATTCTCTCTATTCCTATAATAGGCGCTGGAGTTAAACGTCTTTTTAATTCAGTACGGGATATCTACCACTACCGACGTAGGCGGCTAAGTGCGAAGATAGTCTAGGATATTATAATATTCCGGTGTAAAACCTAGTTCGATATTAAAATAGAAGAACTACCCAATAAGGATATATCCTTAGATTTAATATAAGAAGTAGACGAATAGAGAGAGGCTAAGCTTACTACTGATATACCTGAACTAATCAGCGATAGTGAGGATTCCGAGGATAATAATCCTGTTAGACTAGACCTTATTAAAAACATTCAGAGGGCCGGAATCTCCCGCCCTCCGCCCGACCCTCGCGGGCGGAGGGCGGATACTTACCTGCCCTCACCCGACCCTCCGCTCTCTAAGGGCCGCTCGAGGGCGGCCCTTATCGGCCCTCGTTTATATAAAAAAAGTTGACCTTTCCTAATTTAGATATATAAAAGTGCTAACTTATCACTTTAAATTACGGTTATTTAACGGTGTTCTGGTTTGAATATTATATTTACAATCTATTTCTTTATCAGTATTAAGAAACTTTATAAAATTGAGTTGTATTACGATAAATTATAGTAGGTAATAATAATATTATATATTCTTAGTATCTTTAAGTATATTGGTTGTTGTCAATTGTGAAGGTTGTCAATATTAGATAATAGAGTTAGAGAAATATATATTTGTAACTTCAGCTAGACCTAGGGTATATACTTCTTATCTGAATACTGATTTTTGAGGGCGGGTTGAGGGCGGGTTAAGGGCGGCCTGTATATTCCGAGGGCGGATTGAGGGCTGGATAAGGGCGGCCCTTAATTAGCCTAGTAAATCTAGCCAATTATAGAGATTATCTTAAGTTAAAGTGGGTTAAATTGTGATATATTTACTATTTACCCAGTGAGCTGAACTTTAGGGTAGTTAATCAATTCTATTTACTAGGATTTGTTAATTTTCTTAGTATATCTACCTTCTGATTCCTATCCCGTTGTTAAGATATAATCTATAAGTGATTATTTAGTTAACAATATCTTAAATTTCTCAGTTCTCAGATATCTATTCCTTATCTATCTACGACGGTGATCCTACAAATTCAGTCGACCCTCTTCTCTGCTTTCCGAATAAGTAATTCCTAACCCCTAAGGTTTCCGAAAGCCAGTAGATATTTGATACTACCTTAAATTCTGGGTTTCTTACCCTAATTCCTCTACCTTCAATTCCTTCTTCACTTCAGTGTATTAGCCTAGGTCGATTAATAGCGTTTATTCTATACACCGATATATCAAAAGATAATTTTGTTTCCTAGTGGTTAGAGACTGAGTTTAGAAAGACAAAAAAACGACTAAACTGGAATAGTAACCGGACAGCTACTTACTAGGAGCAATTTAATTAAGTGGCTGATATAAAAACTAGTAAACTAGGGGTAATATATCGTCAATACTATAAAGTCCTCGATTATCTAGTAAATAGGCGGTATAGAATAACTGCACTTTATCGATACTTAGCTAGACCGACTTATCGTAAATCCAGTACCCAGAAGGGTAATATTAAGGGACTACTTATAAATACCGTATATATTATACAATTTTTCTATTATTTATTTACTAATAACTCTCTGGATTAATAGGCGCAGAACGTACTAAGTAAGTCAACAGTTTTTACGCAAGAGGTATAGGAACAGAAGCTCTTACAACTACTTACCCTCTCCCGTCTCCCCTTTAAGTTTATTGAATACCCAGAATTTCGTGAAGTTATTAACTTTACCCGACTTACCCCGATACAACCACAGATCCCTTCTGCGGTTACAATACGGTCTCGACTACGGCGGTATATCCAGGAACAGTAACAGTCTATTCTTAATAAGCTTCCTCCCAATACAAAGCTTTCGATTGTATTAGATTACTGGATATCTCCGTTTCGATAGGCCTTTATAGCTGTCACTGGCTACTTCCTCGACCAGTATTAGGAGTATCGAGAGGTTCTTCTTAGATTTAAACTATTATCTAGCTTACACTTAGGTATTAACCTAAGTAACGTGGTTTTAAAGCTCCTCTATCAGTATAAGATTGCAGATCGAGTACTTACAGTCACTACTGACAATACATTAAATAATAATACTATAATAGTAAGTATCTAAGAATCACTCCAGTCGCTTAAGCTAAACAATAGTGCTACAATCGTTCGGGTTCCTTATATTGCCTATATTATCCAGCTTAGTCTGAATAATCTTCTTAGGAAGATAAAGGTAATTCTAAAGAATAAGAGTGCGGAGATAGACTGGTCTAACGACTGTATTCGCTCTCTTCGTACAAGGTAACAAAAAAGAGAAATTGTTAATACACTTAATAAGGTATTTCCCTATAACTCTACTTTTTTTATTATACTAATCCTTCTATTCTTATATAGGTCCGAAACCTTGCTATCTATATTAACGTAAGTCCACAACGGAGAGAGTTATTCTATAACCTTTAAACTAAGGAGCCAAAGCTTATTCCGATCTAGGATATCCGAACTCGCTGGAATTCGATATTTTTGATACTCCGACGTACTAAACGGCTCTAATTAACCTTTGATCAATTCTGCGCTTAGTATAACTAGGAACACTTTATACTAAGTCCAGAAGAGTGGCGACAGATTGACTATCTTCTTTAGATCACCCAGCCTTTCTTCAAATTCACTACTCTTCTTTCTAAAACTAAGGATATTAGTATTCACCTAATCTTTAATATCTACAATAAGCTCTTCAACCACCTTAAAAAGTCAAAGACTATTTTAAAACAGAAGAAGGTTATATAGAAGCAGCTTATACTTACTTCTCTTAAGGCAGCAGAGAAGAAGCTTTCGTAATATTATAGCTAGACCGATCAAATTGATAACAATCTTTACGCAATTAGCACTATTCTCTCACCCTAACAAAAGCTTGACTTTTTTAAAGGAAAGGACTAGGATAATCCGGTTAATAACTAGCGTGCAATCTATCGAGTAAGTCTTAAGGAATACTTTTAGTCCTATAAGAAACTTTATTCAGATACACAATTATTATCTAGAGCTCGATTATCCGTAATCGCGATTTCAGAGCTTGAAATAGAATACGGAGTAGAAGGGTCCCAGCCCTTAGTATTAAGTGAATATAATAAGCTTAAGGAATACCTTAACAGTGGTAAGTTATATCTTTTTGTTATCTACCCTATATTAACTTATATTTAAGGTATTATACGAACGCCTACCTATATATTTTAGAAAGAGTATCAGTATCAGTACCCTACTCTTATAAACCTTGCACGCGATATACTATCAATACCAGCTATAGGGGCGGGTATAGAACGCCTTTTCAACTCCGCTAGGGATATCTATCACTACCGACGAGGCTCTCTAAAGGTATTAACAGTTCAAGATCTAATAATATTTATATATATATTAAAATTTGAGATCGAAGATACCCACCGAGCTTTAATCAATAAGTATCTTTTATATAAAGAGATATAAGCCAACTAAGAGGAGAGTGATACAACTAACACTTATTATTTTGACCCTATAAGTGATAATAACGAGGGCAGTGATACTTACGAGGACGTAGAGGATAAGGATAGTACTATCGAAGTGGTAGTTAATTAAGGTCAATTACAACGGAGGCAGCGGACTCAATCGGAGCTCGAGGTTAAAGAGTAGGAGGAGGATACGGATAGTGAGCCTAAGTTACCTTATATATAACGGTATTCAGGGAGGGTTCGGAAGCGCTTAAGTAAGCTTAATAGTTATAAAATTGAGAGTGATAAACGCCGTAGAACTTAAAGCTATATAACGTATATTAGTTCCTCAAAGAATAAGATATTTCTATTGAGATTTGATGTTATTTAGCCTGTTTAAATGATTACTCCTAGTTATATTTATTTTCTATAATACTAAGCTATAAACCAAATACTAAATAATACAGCTGAGAAATATATATTTTATACAACTCTAGGGATTTCCCTGTTTGTCCTGTTTGTCGGCCCTCAAAATGTTTGGAGGGCCGCCCTCTGAGGGCAAGAAAATAACCTACCCGACCCGCGGGTAGGCGTCGCTTACCCTCCGCCCGCAAAAGTGCGGGTCTGC